AAAAAAAGACATAACAAGGAGAGTTAATCATATGCAGTGAAAAGGTTATGCAGCCAACGCAAATTCAAGGAAACAGTCATTGTACAAAGACAGAACCATTTTACCATGAATTATCACGCAGTGGAGAGCTTGCTTTGGTTTTGACATCTGAGCCACAGCACATAAATGGATTATTTGGGGGTGGCACTTTTTCTTAGAAAGTAATTCTTTAGCCTGCATCAGCCAGGGCACGTGTGGTGCACATCTCACCCGCCAAACAAGGGGTTAAACTCACCATTTTTGCTAACACCACAACTCCTGCAAAACCATCACTCTGCTTCTGCAACAAAACTCTCTCCAGCACTCCCATCATCCTAGTCCAGCACAATCCAAGGCAGTCCTGTCCCTGGTTCTGTGGATGCTACAGCATCCCCAGGAGGTCTGGGGCAGCATCATGAGCAGCCACTTCCCTGCTTTTTTATGCTTTTCTCAGGACAGAAGGCAGGGGAGACAGGGGGAGTGTTACCATCAACCTAAAAGGCCTGAGCCAGAGCCACAAATTTATCCAGGTGCTTCAATTCACACTGATTTCACATGAGACTTGCATGACTAAATAAACACTGCTGTGGGTACAGTGTTACAGTTCTATTGCAAGGTGCTGCACACGAACAGATCCCTTCAACTGCAGAAGGCATCAGCTTCCTACGGCCAAAACAAAGTCAGAAATCTTCCTACATCTTCTATTTGTCCAACAGGCCAGATCAAATGGCAGAGGTCTAGCATTTTGCATGCTCTTAGCAAAATCACACTGAATTAACTGCCTGCCACACTTTTGAGCAATATAAAATGTCCAAGCTACATCCATTGCTGTGTCCAACTGCAATAGTGCAGAAATGTGGAAAATGTTGGGATAACAGCCCAGGCATGGCCAGCCCCACGGGGGGGTATATTTAAAATGTGCATTAACAGCTGGCCCAAAGTCACCCTCTGCACCAGATTTGCCATCCTTCTCCTGTGAGCAGCATCCTGGGCACAGCCAGGATGCTCCCGGCAGCGCCCTGGACGGGATGGGAGCAGGAGTGCCCCACCAGCCCTCTCCACCCTGCCAGCCTGGGAGGCCACAGCGGGTGTGCAGGCAGGCGGGAGGCAGCAGTGCCATGCCCACCGCACCTCAGGAGCATCCTCCATGGCAGGACAGGAGCAGTGGGTGGGTGCAAAAGTTCTTTGCTCTCCCACATCCCGCTTCTGTCAGGTGTGATTTTCCTCACAGCACTGGTTATGTTTTGGGCAGACTGGCACAGTGCATCACCAACCTGGGACAATATTCGGGTGACAAAGATCATTTAGATGCCTACTGGGGTGTCTGGCAGGGGGCTGCACTTTTGTGGCTGGCAAGTATTTAACCTCTGCAGCTTTTACAGGGACACACAATTCTCTTGGAATCCAAAGTTATCACCTAGGATGGGGACATTTTCTTAGCTTTCCTCAGACAACCTTTCTCTCTGCATCATTAAGCCCTCCAGCCTACTGGAAGCTTGTTGGTTTATTGCCATTTCCAAGCTTTTCTTAGGTTTGTTTTTCAGTTACAGCTCCATGCTGGTTTCCTTTTCTTTTGTTCCCTTTTGAAGAGGAGCAGTTGTCTGCACAGGGTGAGTTCTGTATCTGCCAATGCTGCTATTTTCCTTTGATGAAAAGACAGGTTTGATTTGGGTTTGTGTCTGGCTTGGCTACCTGCTTGTTCACAACGAATTCAAAAACATGCTGAAAGTTTGCAGCTGGCTGCTTTTCCTTGGCAGCGAAGAGGAGAAAGACGGAAGGGTGCACTGCATCTGATTTTTCCTGAAAACTTTCAGACTCTATTTCCACGAAAGGCTCTTTACAAGTGTTCCTCCACAGACAGCTGAGGCCAGCAAGTGATGGTGTGGAGACAACCTTCTCTGGAGAGCTGTGTGTAACTGCACGGTAACCCCTGCCATAAGCACAATGAGCCACTACACGCAGGACCAGCGAAGCAATCACGTATTTAGCGTATTTCAGGAAGACAGAGAGGTTGAAGTGCTGCTGAGCTTTGTCAAGTTAAACATGGAATTCTACAGGAAGTTTTCAAATTAGGTTTCAGGCCAACAGTAGCAACCCCTAAATATCATGGCAGTGCTTGGCTGGGCAATGCTGCCTTGGTCTGGGTGTGCCTCTGGCCTTCCTTTTTTTAATGACTGACACTTCTATTTATACAGTCAATACGAGGGAGTTGCTTGGAAGGGAACATTTCTGAATACATTTCAGTGTACACAAATTTGAGTCACAGCGTCTGTTAACATACAGTTCCTGGTACTGGCCCCTTCCATTTAATCTCAAGATAAGAGTCTTTGCTCCACCCACGGCAAAGTGACTGCTGCCATTGCTGCACTCTGGGCTGTTCTCTCCTCTTAGCCGAGGGCTGGCGGTGTAAGCCAAGAGCTCCTTTGCTGTCCCACTGTAATTTAACCTTAACCATCATCAAACCAAACCAATCTGGCTTTTTGTGTTCAGTAGTTTTCCTAAGGTGACATTTGAACAGGCAGTGCTGCTCTAGTAGCAATGAGCTAGAAGCAAAACCAACAGCTGACAGGTACCATCTATTACCTTCACAGGAGAGTAACTCTGGGTGGCTTGGAAGATCAGCATTAGGGTACACGCTTCGGGTTTGACAGTGTGAAATGAGTAACAGTCAAAAGTAAACGCTGTAAAACAGGACTGATGGTTGTAACCATTTGCTATGGGATATACCTGCTCCCTAACTGGCAATCTCAGCCCTGTGTCCCAAGCTTAAATGGATGCGTGTCAGTGCAGAGTTGTGTTGTTGGCTGCTGTTCTCTGGTCAAACTGAGCATTTCACCCTCCAGGAATGTAGTCCTGTCATCTTTCAGAGACTTAATTCACAAAAAGTCAATCTAACAGAGAGATAATATATATTAACTGAGTATGCCTTAAGTGCCAGAGGAAGGACTTCAGTGTTGAAAAATGAGAGGGAATTAGAGGACACACTGGTGAAGACACAGGATCATGCAGGTGCGTGCTGACCTGCAGTGCGGGGTGCTAACGTATTTTGTGTCTTCTTGAAAATTGCTGTCTTTTGCAAAGACCAATGCTCTGTTAGCTGCTACTCAGAGTCCTTCTGGGTATCATGGAGCTTCCACAGGTGACCACTGAAATGGGTCTGTAGATTGTGCTCTTTTTCAGATTGTTTGTGCTCATCCATAGCTAAATGACTGGAAAAGAGCAGCAGGTCCCATTTCAGGCTGACCTGGGGAAAGCCAGTGAGAACTTCCCATGTGCATTTGGGATCTCTCCATGCTTCCTTAGTGAAGGTGAATCTAAATGCTTTTCACATTTTGGAAAAAACCTGAATTTGAATTTGAGTCTTTCGAAATACATACTCCCTTTTGGACTCTGAGTCACCCATGCACCTTTGGATGACAGAGACATTTAACTGTTCCAAGTCTTGTCCACTCCATCACTAAAAGGCAAGCACTGCCCTTCCCATGGGAATGCTGTGTGAAGCGCTGGCAGTCAGAACCAAGGAAACGACATCCTTTATAAAACTTCTGTAGATGGCTTGTACAAGAACATAATCGAACCCTGACATCTGCCCAGAGATTATTCAGGCATCTGCCATGCACAGAAATATCTGGCAGAATAAAATTCACCTAAATCCATAAACCTGATCCCAACAGTAACTGACGCAACCAGTAACTCACCACTTCTACGCTGAACAATCTACCACCACATCACATTAGAGATGAGGGAGAGCCTGGACATAGCTCTCCACTCCAACCAGACATGGCCAGATGCCCAGCCTGACCTGCCAAAAGGGCTTCCCCAGCTGCAGCATGGCCCCTGCGATGGAAAGGGTGGCCGCCCTTGCCTGCCAGTAGAAAGACAGGATCATCACGTATGAACTAGACCCATGTTTTCAACAAGCATGGAAAAAAAAGCCACTAATAATTTTAATTGTCTTGGTCCTAGGTACAGGCACACATCTCAAAGGCAATGCTGCCCTCTGTTACGTCTTCAGCTACTCACTCACGCGTGGCTGTGTACTACTCCCTTCGCAGCTCTGAGCTTTGAATTAGCCTCAATGAAGAGACATGGAATGAAAAAAGCAAAGCTGGCTCCTGCACGAAGCTGAGCACTTCCAGTTCCCCATGAGCTTTAGAGACTTAGAGAAGGCATTTTGCATCCAGAAAGGACAAAGTAATCTATTGTAAAATATTGTAATTCAAGTCCTAATCTTCATCTGCTGCTTTTTCACTATATAAATCAGGTATTAACATTTAAATAAAAATAAATTTATTCACCTTGTCATCTTGTATTAGTAGTATCTAACTTAATGGATTAAGACTAGATGAAACACATTTTATTGTCAGTTTAGAAGATAACTTTTATTTTATCTTTATTTTGGTGTGTTATCTTATTAATGAGTTCAATATGGAAAGTTTAAGTTTCAATCATGAGTCCAATGTAATCACTCTGCATTAAACTATGTATAAAAAAATATTTTAAAATAAAAACGTACAAAAGCACATTATCTCCACATGCCCATTTTTGAAAAGAAATTATAGAATAAACAGGAAATAGAGATTATTCCTTATTCATATTAGGCCTGACTCTAACCCTGGTAATGAGGCTGACTACTAAATAGGTCCACAAATACTTTTCTTGTACTCAGTGGAAGTACTTATGCAGGCAAATAGGGCTGGGCCCTGGCAAAAGTGGGAGAATCTGGGCTTCTCTGAGTCAAAGGTTTATTATTAACAAAACCCTCAGTTGCTCAAACCCCACAAAATGGTTTCAACTGAACAGTCACACCACTAGTTGGAGAAAGGCACACATGTGATAAAGGAGGAGAATGAAAAAGCTTATTGACGTGTTGATACACAGCTGATAAGGAAAACAAAAACCCACTTAAAAAAACCAGCAGTTGAGTTTTAGCTGAAGTCAGAAGCAGCATCTGGTCTCTTTTCTCTCCCAGTGTCAAGAAGATGTTTGCAACGATGCTGAAGATATTTCCAATTCTAGCCATCCTTACAGGTAAGAATAACAAACCGATTGACACAGCACTGGAATAAGGGAACTTGCTGAAATAAGAAAGCAGGTGAACCTGTCTGGCAATCCATGAAAACATCCAAGATTAATTTCAGGATGGAATGAAATCATGGCTATGATGCTATGCCATTCTGTGGAAATCAGCAAGCTGACCGCTGACTGGTAAGAGGGTTTTGCTCAGGAACAGAATTTTAGCTTTGGTAAATTAATGCTTTGCTTTAAAGCCAGGAAGAGGCAAAGAGATCTTACACAGAGTGTTAGGGTCCTTCAAGCGTTTCAAGGTTAGAATTTCTCACACGCGGCTTTTGTCTCCCCTTGACAATAGCCCTGGGAAATGCTGCCTCAGTCCCACCTCCACCAAAAAATTTTTGGGGATTCTTAGCTTTAAGCACGTAAACAATCCTTTGGACTTCCCTGAAGTTAAGTGAGGACATAATACTTTGTGGAATCTAGTAATTAAATGGTATATTAAAGATTGTATATTATTCATATTTCAAGAATATTTCATTGTGCTAAGCTTTATTTTTAATATATACAGAAGGAGATATTTTAAGTCTAATGCTCCGTGGAGGTGAACAGCCTCTGTATCCACTAAAGCAAATGAAAGTTAAGTTTTCTTTTCAAGATGGAATTATCTGGTTTGGATGTCAGAGAAATATTTTAAATACTTGCTCCTGGTGTTTTCATGTTATCTCTCTAACACACACATAAACCCTGGAGATTTTTGCCTTAGAAATGAAAATAATTCAGTGTTAGTATCAATACTTTTCAAAACCATGTCCTCTAATATTAAAGTTCTGGATTTAAGAGCAGCAGTGTGTCCATAATGATGGGTGCCACTGACTGGGGGTTTCTGCAGTGGCTAGGAAAAGATTAGCAGACTTGGATTTACTTCGTGAGCGTTAAAATCGGCATGGGACTTCAGTGAACGTGGGCGATTATCAATTAACTGCAACGACGTGCTCTGTAGCAAGGAAGCACTCTCACTGTAACATTGATGAGTAAAAGACATGGATCAACTATTCTTAACAAGTTATGGTCCTGTTCATGCTAGCTTTTCCCACTGAGTTACTTCTTACTCATGCACTTTTTTCATTTAAACCAAAAGGCCTGTGTGTATGAAATGGGATTAGGAGTTTGAAACGGTAAACAGTGAACTACATGCAAAGCACAACTCACATCAGCTTCCGTGTGAGGAACAGGCTCTGCGGGTCCAGTTCGCTCCATTTGCAGTCAAAAGCTCCATCTCACAATTAGCAATGGATTTAAACAGCCTCGCTGGACAATGGAAGTTTGACAGGTTTTGACTTTATATTTTTACTAAAGCAAAGCCTGTTTCAACTAAATGTATTTCTTCAAAATATACAGCTTCATGGAAACTAGAATGCTTTGTGGAGTCGTTTCTGGTAAAATTAATTTCTTCTGGGAAAAGAAAAAAAACAAAAAAGCTTATAACAGCCAGGCTCTGTGGCACTCCTAACTCCAAAAAACAGAGAATGATAAAGAACATATGTGGAGCAGATGACTGGAAAATCGATGTTTTCAGTAGAACAACATTGTTTTGAAAGACCATAGCTTTAATCCTGCAAAGAGCAGAAAATAAATACATGTAAACCTAGAAGGATTATTGTGGCAAGAAATGATCATCCTCTGGACAACTCTAATTCTTAAAGCTGAGAACAGTGAACTGAGACATCTAAAATAATATTACGTGGCTTTTACATTAGATCTCAGTAAGGATTAAGCTACTGTGAACTCACAGGACAAGCAGGCCCTTCAGCCAGCACTGGGATCCCCTTTCCCCAAGGCAGGTTTGACACATTCAGGTCAGTCTCCAGCCATTCCTGTGAGACTGTCTTCAGATATAATGTAAATTTTGCTGCAGTTTAAACCTGCTAGTTCTCATCCTAGCCACCACCAACACAGAAAGCAGATTATTCCCTTCTTCCTTGCAGTGAGCTTTTACTGTTGAAGCCACTGAACAAGGAAAACAGATCCTGAAGAGTTCAGACAGGTTTGCATGTTGTAACAATTTACACAGTTAAAGTGTCAATAGAAATTATATTTCTTTTTTAAACAGTTTTTTCTCTCATAGGGCTGATAATTGGCGCAAAATACTCTTTTAGTATTAGCGGAGGTTCTGCTTAAACTTTCAAAAGCAGTATTCTAACATAAGATGCACAGATACTCCACTGAAAATAGTATTTTGTATGTTTTGCCTCTATCATTCATATATGCAATAAGCCCATGAGAAAATTATTATAACATGAAGTTCCCACCTTGCCTGTTTTGCATAGAAAGCTCCAAAAGACTTACATTTTCTGTCACATTCAAAAGAAATACATTCTCCTTCAGAATCCTTAGACATTAGCTTTTAAACTGGACTCTGCAATCTAGCAAAACCCTGAAATTCAAACTTATTTTTCTGACAGCTCTTGCTTTGTTGCTGTATGTCACCACTGCTAGGAGCTGATATGGAGGAAACAGATAAATACTGTAAGATGGTGCTTGATTCCTTTCATTAATATGATTGTGTAGCCAAGACTGATCAGAACATTACAGGAAAGGGCTCACAATTCTGTTTGCTCCCTTTCTGCTTTGAGCACAACAGAAAGGGTTGCTCAAGTTATCATCGAATTTCTCACAACCCATAAAATAAAAGCAGATCCAAAAAGCTTAGTTTGACATTTCCAATGTAAAAGCATTACAAAAGAACAGCTTCTGCATGTAAGCCCTAAGAAACCTAAACAAAAGCAAAGTAAGTAGCAAAAGAGAAAGGCTGCTGGGCTCCAGCCTGGGGAACCCAACAGTGCCACTGAGTCCCAGTCAGACCCTAAGAATGGAAGAAGAGACAACAATGTAGAAGATGGTGATCCACGGCAAAGGAGATCAGGTATCTAAAGGAGTAACAGCAAAAAAAGAGGGCAAGAAGGGTGTAAAAGAGGGCTAGAGACAGCTGCAAATGAGAGTGGAAGGTGCAGGAGAGCACTGTGAGTGCAGAAGAAGGGTTTGGTTTAGTCACAGGCTCTTGGTGAGAAGACAAGTCTCTGCAGGTAAGAACGAGTATGTTTTTAGGAACTCAGCTTTTCCAGAATATTATTTGTTTTAAGGGCACAGGTATTCTGGGGGATTTATTTGCTCGTTAGCTTTTACCCACTCCCAGCTTGTTATAGCTAAAAATTCCACACAAAGCCCAAGGAAAAGTGTACTGAAAAGAATGACAGGACATGCCCTGTGGGATCCCTTCAATAACGCAGGGAGCAAGGTGCTCCCACACAGCTCCCAGGGTCTGCCCTGGCTGATCTCTCCTTCCTGTCCACAGGCCATGTCAGCAGTGTTGTGGTGACGGTCCCTGAGAAGACAGTGAATGTCACTACAGGTGGAAATGCAACCCTCCTCTGTACATACACGAGTGAACCGCTGGGAAATTTCTTTATTCAGTGGAGCTTTTACAGTGCCAAAGAGAGCCAACTTAATACCGTAAGATATTTATTTACTATTAATATGAAGTTATATTTAAGATATTCTTAAGTCCTCGAAGAATCTTGTTAGGTTTGATGGTGTTATCCTCACTACAGACTAGGGAGGTAGGTAATGTTGGTGTTCCCACCCTAAAGACAGGAGACTGGGATGCAATGAAATTTAGGGGCAGAGGCACAAAGTTACCTAGGCTCCTAGTTCCTACTGGCATGCCTGAACTCCTTTAGAAACTTATGAGAAGGTACAAAAGGGTTTCAGATGCTTAAGCAACTTGCTTCAAGTCACACAGGAAGCATGAAGCAGAGCAAAGACCAGGTGTCCAAAAATCACACAAGAGCTGCAGCCCCTGGACCCTTTTCT